AATGGATGGATGGATGGGTGGATGATGGATGATGGGTGGATGGGTGGATGATGGGTGGATGATGGATGAATGGATGGATGATGGGTGGATGATGGTGGATGGATGGAGGAAGGATGGATGGATGGATGGATGGATGGATGGATGGATGGATGATGGATGATGGGTGGATGGGTGGATGATGGGTGGATGATGGATGAATGGATGGATGATGGGTGGATGATGGTGGATGGATGGATGGATGGATGGATGATGGGTGGATGATGGTGGATGGATGGATGGATGGATGATGAATGAATGGATGGATGGATGGATGGATAGATGAATGGAGGATGGATGGATGGATGGATGATGGATGATGGGTGGATGGGTGGATGATGGATAGATGGATGGATGGATGGATGGATGGATGGATGGATGATGGATGGATGATGGATGGATGGATGGATGGATGGATGGATGGATGATGGGTGGATGATGGTGGATGGATGGATGGATGGATGATGGATGGATGGGTGGATGATGGATGAATGGATAGATGATGGATGGATGGGTGGGTGGATGATGGTGGATGGATGGATGGGTGATGGATGGATGATGGATGATGGGTGGATGGGTGGATGATGGGTGGGTGGATGGATGGATGATGAGTTAATGGAGAGATCAATAGACAGTTAGATGGATGATTATTGAATAGATGGATGGATATGTAATGATGAATGGGTAGATGGATAGATGACCAGATACACTGGATGAATGGATGCATGCATTTGGTGGATGTATGAATAAAAGAATAAATAGGTGATTAGAGAGTGAAGAAACACTTTTACTAACCGTATACACACTGGTTCCTGCACCTGTCCAAGTTTCCTGTCTTCTGAGATTCCTGCCTCCTTTACTCCAGGTCCCTGGTCCGGAGCCCAGAGGATGAGGGCGAAGGGGTGGAGCTTCTAGGAGTGAGACCCCCCAAGTGCCTCCCCTGCTCACAGCCTGAACACTTTCTGCTGCCTCCCCTCAACCTGGTACGTGTGGGCATTGGTGGGATTCTCTCACCCTCAGAATTGGAAAAAAAAAGGTTTAAACTTATATTCTAGATGGAAAGCCAAGATCCAGAGGAGCCAGGGACTGGCTAAATCTCAGTGCTCCTGCTGAGGTGAAGACCTTGTCTACTGGCTCAGATCATGGGTTTAAAGGGCTTCGCAGTCCATCAAAGGCACACAGCTGGTGCATGACTGTAGGACCTGGGGCTACAGGAGTGAAGAAAACACAGAAATCCCTGAGTTCAGTGACCTAAACACATCAGAGTGCACAGGTCAAAGTCACATGCTGATACAGATCACATGGGCCAACCTCCTGGGACACAGAAGCAGGGGAGGGGACAGTGAAGTCCAGGAGGGACAATCGTAAAATAAAAAAATTTAAAAATCCCAACCCATTGCTTTCAAGTCAATTCTGACTCATGGCAAACCTCCGTCGGCCTCCAAGGCTGTAAATCTTAGCAGGAGGAAACTGCCCTCTTTCTTCCTTCAAGTCCTTGGTGGATTCGAACTGGCAACCTCTCAGTTGTCACTCCTTCAAGTAGTCTACTGTGCCTCCAAGGCTCTCTTTCTCAAGTCTCACAGCTGCCAGGTGGCTGCTGCCCCCCCACCCCCACTGGTGTTTTCATCGCTGTGTGAGCCTGTTTCCTTGGGCACTGGTGATGATGGTGGTGGTGGCAACAGGAGATTGCCATGTCTTTCTTCTGGGATTTCCCCCACCCCACCCTCCACCAGGTGGACTCAAACCCCCAGCCTTTTGGTTCATAGCCAAGTGCATCATCCATTTACACCACCCAAGACTTATAGATATATGCCTATATTCAATTAATCCTTGGCTCTCTTAGGGTTAGGAGCACAGACTTCCCACCCAGGTAAAAATTCATATATCATTTATAGTTGACCCTTGAATAGCATAGATTTTGACTTATGTGAGCCACTTCTATGTGGAATGTTTTTCCTGTTATTGTGACAGTGATAAGTGTTATTGTTACAAGTGTCACAAGTGTCTGTCCAAAATGCCACTGTGATACGTGATACTGTCTCAGCTTGAGCCCTTCTCCAGAGAGGAACTGTGGTGGAGGTGGTGTTAGGTGTCCTACCTAGCATTAGCTCTGATTCCTGTCGATCCACACACAACAGGAACGGACCACTGCTCGATCCTGTATCATGCTCACAACTCCTACTGTGTCCATCCATTAAAAATACACACATACGTGAGTTCAACCCGTGTTGTTCCGGGATCCACTGAGAGAAAAGAGGGAGAGAGAGAGAGAGAGATGCCTTTGGAGTGTGGAACTAGCAAAGATAGAATCTGCCATGGACTGACAGAATAATCAACAAATGTGTCTTGGAACAAGTGCTGCCAGGCTGTGCCTTAGAGGCAAGGATGCTGAGACTTCATCTCTCATGCTTTGGGAATGTTGTCAAGAGGAGCCAGTCTCTGGAGAAGAACACCATGCTTGGAAAAAATGGAAACTCAGAAAAAAAGAAGACGACCCTCAATGAAATGGATCGACACAGTGGTTCTAATAATGGGCTTAAACACAGCCGAGATTGTGAGGATGGCACAGGATGGGCAGGATTTAGTTCTTTTTTTAAAAAAAATTTATTATTATTTTGTGTGTGTACCGTCAAATCGGATCTGACTGGTACAGGAGGCGATTGTCCCTCCTTCTCCAGCAGAGCATCCGGTGGATTCGAACCACACGCCTCTGGGACTGCAGTGCAGCTTCTTGCCTCTAGGCCACCAAAGCTCCCCCAGGATTTCATTCTTGTGCACATGAGTCATTGAGTCAGCCAATTCTATGGCCCCAGTAACTGACAGTCTAGTCCACAGAGTGCTGCACCACCAGCACCACGAGCAAAGAAGATGCCTCAATGGCAGCTCGAATCCACCAGCTCGTCCCAGCAAGAAAGGTGGACAATCTCCTCCCGTCATTTACAGCCTCAGAAGCCCGCTGGAGGGTCTGCTATGAGTTGGTTCTGACTTGGCAGCAGCGAGAAAGACATAAGTATCGAGCCAGCATTCCTTCTCCCAGACACCTCCATTTTTGCTCTTAAGACCTTCAACTGAATCGTCTTAAAACCCACGTTATCTCTTATTAGAACCAATCCCTTGGCAATATTGACCGCATCAACAGAATTACCTTTTTTTAAATTTAATTTTATTATTTTTGTGTGTGTATACCGTCAAATCGGATCTGACTGGTACAGGAGGGGATTGTCTCTCCAGCAGAGCATCTGGTGGATTTGAACTGTTATCTTCTTGGATTGTAGTGCAGCTTCCTGCCACTAGGCCACCAGAGCTCCCCCAGAATTACTTTCTTATTAACAGCATTAAGACTAGCTTTTGCTGGGCCAACCCAGTCAGTGGCAGAGAGCTGTTCCATCACGGGGCTCTCCCCCTTCCCACAGAGTTTCGTTCTCGCGGGAGGATCAGCACCAGGCAGCCAGCAGGACCCCCACACCCATGTCCTGGCCCTGAGTGAACACCTGGGTGAGTAACAGCATGCACATGCAGAGGCCTTGGGGTTCCCCCTTGTACCTGGGAGGTACCCCAATGATGGAGAGAAACATAGGAGCCATTTGAAGGCAGTAGGGGGCAGATTTCAGTGCCTCAAAGGAAGGGAGAAGCCCATCCCTTCTCCCAGAGATGCTGTGGGGTTCAGCTGGGGAAAGTGGGGCCTTGCAGGGGGTGTGGCTTGCCAAGGCTGCCCCTTGGGGCCGGGGGGGGGGGCGGGGAAGCGATGCAGAGACCCCACCCTGCGTCTCCCCAAATATGAGTGTGATTACACGTTAGGGGTCTAGCCTAATTGAGGTTGCATCCGCCTTGACCTCTTCCTAGCTGGGCCTTTGAAAATGTTTCTGCCCTGCAGCAGCCTCAGTTTTCCCCTCTGTTGATTGGGGCCACAATGATTTATTTTAAAAAAAAATATATATATATATATTTTTTCCCCCATTCATTCATTGTTGCACTTTTCTCCCTGCCCACTCCTCCCCCCAATTCACTCCTCTCTTTGAAAAGTAAAAGAAAAATTCTTTCATTGTTATACAGTCCCTCCCCCCCAAGTCCACTCCACTATGCAGCCTTCATTCTGGACTCCTGTCATGACAATAATACCTAATCATATATCCCTTTTAAACAGTTCTCTTCCTCAAATGTCTTCAGTGCAGTCTACATTATTTGTTCCCTCTTTCTCAGTCTTCCCTCAACCCCGATGTCAGTCCCATTTTATAATAGTGGCACTATGCAATATTTGTCCTTTTGTGACTGGGATATTTCACTCAGCATAATGCCCTCCAAGGTCATCGTTTTGTATAATATCTCATGAGTTCTTTGTTTTCCAATGCAGCGTGGTACTCCATTGTGTGAATATACCACAGCTTCTCTATCCATTCATTTATTGATGGGCACTTAAGATTGTTAAAAAAAAGTATATATATTTTTTTAAATTATTTTTGTGTGCGTGTACCGTCAAATCAGATCTGACTGGTACAGGAGGAGATTTTCCCTCCTTCCCCAGCAGAGCATCTGGTGGATTTGAATGAACTGTGCGACTCTGGGATTGTAGTTGCAGGTCCTTGCCACTAGGCCACCAGAGCTCCCCCAACGAAAGTTTACAGAAAGGTTAGGTTTTCGTTCATTCATTGTTGCACATTTCCCTCCCTCCCCCTCCCTCGTCTACTTTTTACTGCACCTCTTTGTTCCAGATTGTCAGTTGGCAGTCTAGTGAGGGAGGTGGACCACAGGCAGAGAAACAAGAACAATGCCCAATCACACGTTCCCTTCAGACAGTCCTTCCCCTGGCTCCTGTGTTACGAAGGTGTTTAGAAGACTCGTCAGAGAGGCAGCACAGGCACAAGACCTCGTTGTTACATAAGCACTCGGCCAAAGCCCATACTGTTCCCTCTGGAGCAATGCTGTTCCTGCTGCCCCCCTGCAGAACCAGGACAAGCTGCCCTGTGTGTTTGGTGTTCTTCTCATCATCCTCTTTCAACACAGCTATCAGCGGCCCCTTGTCTTGCCCTGTAGGCATTACCCTGAGAGATTTTTTCCCAAAGCACAAATCTAACCCTGGTCCTCTACTCAAAACCCTTCAGTGGCTCCCTAGTTCCCTCCATAGAAGGCTCGATCTCCTCATTCTTGGACTGCAAGATCTTATGGGCTTAGGCTGGTGCCTTGCCTCAGACTCTTCTCTGCTCCACACTGTCTCAGCCATAGGTAGACACCACATCTCAGTACCTTTCATCTTTCCTTCATCTAACACATATTTATTGAACAGTGCTAGTTAGACGTAAGGATAGTGAGACTTTACCTTCCATGCTTCGGGCATGCTGCGGGAGGTGTCGGGGGGAAGGCCAGTCTCCAGAGAAGGACGTCATGCTTGTAAATTAGAGAGAAAGAGAGAGACTCTCAAGGAGATGAGGTGATTGACACAGTGAGTGCAACAGTGGGCGCAGACAGGGCCGCAATAGTGAGAACGGCACAGGGCCAGACAATGTGCGGTCCTGTGTTTCTGTCACTATGAGTCGGAGCGGATTCTTCAGCTCCTTGCAACCACCATGCTCCAGCACCACTGTCCTCGGTGCTGGCGACGTGGCTATGAGCAGAGCATGGCGAAATCTCAGTCCTTAAGCAGAGCTGACAGTCTAGCAAGGGAGGCAGACCACAGGCGGAAACAGTGGCTTCCTGCCACAAACCAGAAGGTCAGTGGTTGGAATCCACCAGCAGCTCCAAGGGGTTAAAAATGTAGCCATCGGGAGCTCTGGTGACCTAGCAGCAAGAAGCTGCACTGCAAACCCGGACGAACACAGTTCAAATCCACCAGATGCTCTGCTGGGGAAGGAGGGACAATCTCCTGTACCAGTCAGATCTGATTTGATGGCACACATACACAAAATAATAAAATAAAATATTTTTTTTTAAATGTAGCCATCAACTCTCATAAAGATTCACAGCCTTGGAATCGCCAAAGGAGCCATTCTATTCTGCCCTCCAGTGTCACTGCGGACACAGTAGACTGGATGATGGAAGTGGGCTGTTTGGTTCCAGGGGA